CTCAGCCACGGCTGGGTACCGACACGCCTGGCCGGCTCTCCTGAAGCGTGGCCCTTAGAGCTGGCGTTGGGACGTGGCGCTGCCCGTCCCACGTACAGGTCCTTTTTTTGGTGCAGCGGTGCAGGGCCGCATGGTGTCAGGGCCAGAGCAAAGGTCCCCTTTCGGCTGGGACCCTTGCCTGGGGTGTGGCAGGGGACACGGGGACCCAGCCTGGGAGGACACACTCTTACTCATCAGTCTTCACTCATGAGGTCATGGGGCTTGGTGGCTGCCTAATTAAAACGGCTGTTTTCTAAAATGAAACATCTTCTAGTCACACCAAGACTTTTGCAAGTCTTCTGGCCCTTGAGCCCCACACCCTTAATCAAGCGAGGAAGAAGAACAGTGCTTCATTTCATCCTCTTTCTTCCTTGGCGTCCTCCCACTTAAAGCCGTCCCGAGGTGACAGAGACGCTCGAGCTGCTGGGTGGATGGAAAATGTCCCAAGGCTCTGCTTGCTTTGCCCACCGGGCAGCCGTTTGCCTGAGCAAAGCCTGCTCTGCCATGTGAAAATAAAAGCAGAGGATGGAGGGGGAAGTCGAGAAGGGGACAAGGCTCAAGGGAACCCCAAGTTGCTGGGGGGCGTGTGGTGCAGGCTATGCTGGGGAGCTGGAAGGCTGACTGTGCCATCCCCTTTTCCACAGGGAGCCAGACAGCACCTACTTCGACCTCCCTCCATCCAACCATACGGGCAGCAATGAGGTCTCCAACCGCACAGAGGTGACGATGGATGTCTTCCAGATGAGAAGCATGAACGACTCGGTCATGGTGAGTGTGCTCAGACTGCACGAACGGGAGCTGCGTCAAACACAAACTTGTGTTCCCCCGCGGTGGGCTGGGGGCTCCGGGGTAGGAAAAGGGATGCTTGCTGGGCCCTAAACCCAACACAAACGCTACAGGCGCGGTGCTGCTGGCGTTTGGGCAGGGTCTGATACACGTCTGGTATTCTGATCACGTACAAATAGCTTAAGAGTGGGGGTCACGAGGACGGGGCCAGACTCTTCGCAGTGGTGCTCAGCGACAGGACAAGGGGCCATGGGCACAAACTGAAGCAGAAGAGGTTCCAGTTGAACGTGAGGAAGAACTTGTTGACTTGGAGGGTGCCCGAGCCCTGGCCCAGGCTGCCCAGGGGGGCTGTGGAGTCTCCTTCTCTGGAGATATTC